GGTTTCCTGTGCACGTTGGTGATTTTCTATTCTAAGCTATGGAATTCAGGAACCACAGGTATTTTAGACTCTATCACATCAGTTTTGTGCTGATCAGATGGCATGTAAATAACTTGATAGATTCAGTGAAAAAAAAGATCATGAATGAAACTTAATTTGGGAGGAGGTGAAAATTATAAGAATCAAGGAACAATTTTCTTTTGTTATTGTACAAATTTTGAATATGAAGTTTAAGATATATGTGTTTTATTCTTATTCAGAGGAGTTATTTTATAAACTTAGTTAAACTCCATATGGTAAGGAGCATCATATAAATGGAGCAACATGTTAAAAATAGGATTGAATGTTTCACTTTTGTATAGGCGTGTTGGTTTCATGTTAGAGTGGCCATCTGAAGTATTTCTATAAGGATTCTAGATGTTCCATCTATATTTTAGGATGTAACATGGGACCTCACTGACTTCTATGGTAAAATAAAGGAAAGCTCCATATTTCCTATCTCTGCCTCAGCCAGAATTGTCCCATTTTGCCAGTTTTTTGTGTTGTGGTACATTTAACTCTTATAAATAAAAGTTTCTGCTTTTAAAGCATGTTTGGAAACACTGTCCTATGCAAGAAATTTTAATTTGCTTTTTCCACTTTTTTCTTTTTTATAACAAAAAACAAAATAGACTTTTATTTCAAGTGATATGTTTCCTAAATGGGCCCATTAAGGTCTAACTGTTATCATTTCTTTAAAGATTTCAAATTGCTTAAATGCCCATATACTTTTAATAATTTTAATTATGAAAATAAGAGACAGGTGTAAATTGCTATATGACTTTAAGAACAGTCTTTTAAAAATATAGTTCAGGGGTGCCGGCATGGCTCAGATGGTTAAGCGTCAGCCTTTGGCTCAGGTCATTAGGCTCCCTGCTCCACGGGAGGCCTGCTTCTTCCTCTCCTATTCCCCCTGCTTGTGTTCCCTCTCTCGCTGTCTCTTTCTCTGTCAAATAAATAAATAAAATCTTAAAAAAAAATTAAAAATATAGTTCAGAAACTGAGTAAATAGGTATAGTCTTAGAAATGTAGATATCATGGATGTTTTTGCAATACTCTAAATAGCAGAAACGCATTGCAGTTATGATTTTGGGGAGGTTGAAACATTGTCCATTGAGTTCAATGGACATATTAGTTTGTTGGCTAATTTAAAATATTTTAAAGTTAGAGGTAAAACTTTTAACATATTTTTGATTTTCTGGTAGGAAAACAAGCTGCAGAAGCATCTGCGAAGTATTACAAGAAACAGGGAGGTAACGATTAGAGCTTGGAACCTGGCCTGATTTAGAGAGAGGCTACAGTGCAGTTTTGATAGAATCATTTAGTTCAAAGTGTGAATGTTTAAAATATGTTGATCATACCATACCATTTGTCTACCATCACATTGCTGTATTGCTGCATTACAAATTTGTTTCATCTTCTCTTAATATTTTCTTTCATTTAAAATCTGAGTTTAGGGGCGCCTGGGTTGCTCAGTCGGTTAGGCATCCAACTCTTGATTTCGGCTCAGGTCATGATCTCAGGGTCATGAGATCAAGCCCCGCATCAGGCTCCATGCTCAGTTCAGAGTCTGCTTGTCCCTCTCTCTCTGCCTCTCCCCCTGCTTGTGCACGTGCTCGCACCCTGTCTCTCAAATAAATAAATAAAATCTTAAAAAAAAAATAAAACCTCAGTTCAATTGTTTGAAAGTGATGAGGAAGTTAATTTCATTTTCATGAGAATGTCATATCTTTGGAAGTTTGTACACACAGTTGGTTATGAGAATCTGGACTCAGCCACACCCAAATTTGTATTCATATCTGTCATTATCATGATATATGATCTAGGGAAAGATAGTTAACCTTTCTTTGCCTCAGCTTCCTCCTCTATGAAGTAGGAATGATAAAAATGGTACTTATAGAATTGCTGTAATAAATGATATGAGCAATACGGAACTTCAGGCAATACCTGATAGCTTTTGTTGTATTCTCCAGTGAGATCAATATTGAGAGGAAGTTAAGTGGGAACTTATTCAGCAATTAATAGATCACTAAAATTTTCCTTATGATAGCTCATTTAATCCTTTCTGTAGTCTCATGAAATATGTCTTGTGCCATTTTACAAATGAGGAAACTGAGGTGTCCAACATAAAGATACATGGTGTTGCCCTGTGAGTCACCTCAGGCAAGGAACCAGACACGGGGCTGTTCCCTTATGACATGGAGGTGATCGTTCATATTTTAACTTCCCGATATTTTAGGAGGCTCCAGTGAGCCGCATCACTGAAAAGAGTGTGGTGCCCTGGAGTCCCCTTCTGGAATGTAAATACCTCTGTAATGCCTCCTGCAAGGAGTGATAATGCTGTTTTGTCTTCTTGCCAGCCCTCCAGCAAGAAAGATGGTCTGTATTCAACCCCCACAGGGTGCCCAAGAAATAATGCAAGTGTCACAATAGCTTTCTCTGGGTGCTCAGAACCTCTGGCAACTCCATGGCCTACAGCAAGGCCTGGGTCTCCTCAATTCTGAGCAAGGTGGCTTTGCCAATATAAACCCGGGCTGGGCAGAGGCCAGCAGTAATGAGTGACACTCAACTCAGACCTGGGGAAACAACTCAAGAAATCTGCAAAGGCTTTGTCCCTGAAGCAACAACTGAGCAGAGTTTTGCAAGATGTGAAAGAATTTTCACATTTAGGGGAGATCCAATATATAGAAAGCAGGTTTAAGTCATCAATAATAATGCTCTATCCACAATTTCTTAATGTAACATTCCTTTGAAGAATTATTCCTCTGTCAACATAGATTTGGTTCCCTTTATTATTCTCTTTCATAGTCACAGTGGAAGAAAGTGTTTGTTACATTACCAAAGTCTACAGACTTTGGCAGATGGTCTGTCTCCCACAAGGAAGGAAAAGAGGTAGTCAGGTTAGACAGTTAAGGACGTTTTTAACTTATGATAAAGCACTTTCTGTAATATGGTAAGATAACAGAATATGCTATATTGGGGTGAATACAGAGACTGTATGGAGAACTCCTTCATGAAATTGACTAAGGAAGTAAATTTCCTTGACAGGAGACAGGCCTAGGTTTTCAGGGTACCCCAGAGCTAAAGCTGAAGGAGGAAAATTTACAGAAAACAGAAGCTTAGGACCAAATATGATATATCTTAAAACATTTTCTCCTGTTACTAGTACCTAATGTAATTTCTGGTATGCAGTAGATGCTCAGCAAATGCACGAAAATATGCAAATTCCTTCAGTTTGACCACTTCAGTTTTTTCTCTGTATCATTGAATCTTGTTAAGATCTGTCTATACCTAGGGTTTTGTTTTGTTTTTACCTTTCTTTTTGTGCATAAAATTCAACTCAGCACTTCCGTAATTATGCAAGTAGTTATTCCGGGCATGTGCTCACAAAGCACTTCACACTAGCTGTACTTCACTGTCTGCAAATTTTGTACCTGGTCATTGCTTAAGGAAGCATTTTTATAAAGTTTTAAATGTAATTAAAAGTGATGTTATGCTATTTAGGTTGTTTTTTTTTTTTCTTTCTACATTTTGGCTCTGCGTTCTGCTTTTACTGATGCCACGCTATTGAGCAGGAGATTGAGAGATGTGTTTATATAATGCATTGCCCTCTCCCAAACACAACCCTTTTTATTTCCTTTAAGAGTAACCACCACTGTTCTGGTTTTTAGGGGGTCACGTCCTTGCTTTTTAAAATTGTTCTATCACACAGGTGTACATCCCTAAATATAGTTTAGTTTTACTTTGTTTCTTTTAAAGGCGTGTTTCTAAAGTATCTTTTCATTTTTAGGTTTATTTCTTTCCTTTTTCTAATTTATCTGTTGAAAACACCAGATCGTTCATCTTGCTGAGTTTTCTCACACCCTAGATTCAGTCGATTACTTTCACGGGGTGCTATTTAACAAGTTTTTCCATCCTCTGTATTTCCTGTAAACTGGTAGTTGGATCTAGAGACTTAGTTTCAGTACCCCCTCCCCCTTTACTTTTTTTCTTTTTTTGGGGGGGGACAAAACGACTGCCTAGGTCGTGGGGTGTTCCTCCTTAGGAGACACACAGTTCCGTGTCTGAGAGGGTTGCAGCAGATGATGCAGAATGCCGAGATCCACGATTCACCAGGAGTTATAGCTCATTGTGTCAGATTTCTAGAGTTTCTTCACTTATTGGCTGGAACTGTATAAAAAGAAAGTTTTCCTCCTCTATTATCTGGTTACCAATTGCACATTTAGTATAGGAAGAGCAGTGTACCTGTTTGGTATTTTTCCTTTATTTACTACTGCTCAAAAAAAAAAAAGTTGGCTCTAATGTATCTGCCATAAGTGGGTTATAGATATCTATAGAGATATATCACCTCGTGGTTTTGTACCAGAATTTCAAATTCGATGAAAAGTCAGAAGTACAGGATGAGTGTTTGAATTCTGCCATTCATCTATATCTTTGTCCAATCCCTACAAGTTTTTAAGGACTAAGAAGACTGGGAATGACAGAATTAGTATATCACACAAACCCACATTCTACACTAAACGTTCTTGTAATAACGATGAATGACATGATTCCTTAAAGGAATCAAAGCAGTTACTCCATTCTCTCCCTTAGGTTTTGTTTGCTTTTACGTGGGAGTGTTTCTGTACACTCAAAGCGTAGGGCCCCCCTTTATGCAGTGCTCTTTCCCCTATATCCTTGTCAGCTGGAAATTTTAAGGAGATTAAGATTATAGCCTTAGGCTTTTGCTATTCTGGTAATGTAACAAACACTTTCTTCCACTGTGACTATGAAAGAGAATAATAAAGGGAACCAAATCTATGTCGACAGAGGAATAATCCTTCAAAGGAATGTTACATTAAGAAATTGTTGATAGAGCATTATTACTGATGACTTAAACCTGCTTTCTATATATTGGATCTCCCCTAAATGTAACTTTTACAACATCTTTTTTGTTTTGTCTTTTCTTTTGTGGCTAATAGAACATTCCAGTGTGCCAGTGGAAAAAAATATCACTTTAGAACAACCTTCTAAAATAAAACTCACATGCCAATTCACAACATCTGGGGATGTGAATTCAGTAAATGTGACTTGGAAAAAAGGTGATGAACAACTTAAGGATTATTGCATCAATGTCACAGGAAACATCCTGTATACCCAGTACATGTGAGTACATAAAATTTTAACCTGCATGGCTCGATGAAATTCATCAACTTTTAAATATTTTTGATGACTGGGCATTCTTTCCTTTGCTGTCTCTTGAAGGTTATGCTAATATTCTAATTTGCATATTTACAGAATTGTTTCTATTTTAGAATTTTGATTAAATGCTAAGTCTTTTTCATTTTTATCAAGAAGTGTTTTGAGAACTAAGCCCATATTAATAAATTCTCTTTAGGTTTACCATCATTAATAGCAAACAAATGGGAAGCTATTCTTGTTTCCATGAAGAGGAAAAGGAACAAAGGGGCACATTTAATTTCAGAGGTTAGTGCTAATAATTTATAGAGTAATAACTTCAGCATTATATTTTTAGAATTCTGAATCCCCAAATTTTTGAATTACCATTACAATACTAAACGTAATGAGCTGAAAGAAAATCATATACTTTCCACTGAATCTTAAAGTGGTGACCTTAAAAATGGAACTTCCCAGTCTTCCCAATGGTAGCATTGCATTTCCCAACCCATTCCTACTCCTGTCCCTCCCCTAGCTTAAATCGAGATTTTAGTGTGAAAGATGGGGCTGCCAGGTTATTTGTAACAGTCTCTTGAATTTATTTGCTTATTCATTTGTTTAGCCCACTAAACTCAGAGCTTTTATATACTGTCCCTTTAGGCGTCTGTGAGAATATGCTTTGGTGTTCTGTACCAGTGGGTCCGGGACTTGGGGGGTTTAGGGATCCATAAAATTTAAAAATAATATGGAGATGCACAAAGGGTTGCCAGTTTTTGGTCTCCTCAAATAAGGAAAAGCCCCAGAATAAAATCCCTAGCTCTTCCCTGTGGAACAAGAAGAAGTAAAATCAGAATAGTTTACTCTTAACTATCATTAAACCAAAACTATAAAGGTCTCAATCTCATAAGAAAGACTAGTCACTGAGCTGGACACTTATCTTCATGAAAAACCCCTATTCTGTGATAGATTAGGGAACCACAGTGTCCGTGCTGGTATCTGGGAAATGCGGTCTGTTGCCGTATTAACTGTTCTGGGTTTTGCTTCACATTAATTTCCCAAGGTACATGAGAAATTGTTCTCCACTTTTCCTGAAAATTGTGAGGTCTGGCTAGCTGCCCTGACAAAATATGGATACTGTCTCCAAGGCCCCATCAATAGCAGAATGGCCTGCTTCAACACTATCATGATTTAAGGTGGTTCGCTCCTATCCCTCCATCCCTCCCTATATTCCCCCTGTTCTCACAGACTCGTTTCCTTCATGTGGTTTTGTAAATGTTCTTACTTGGTAAATATAATAAATCCTTGTGTTTATGCAATTTGGTCTCTGCAAAGGCAGAAACTATTCCCATCCTTTGATTATGTTGATCATGTACATTCTCTCTTAACCTCCTTTCCTCTGTTTGCTTAATTTAATTTAGTGAAGGATAGATGCACCGTACATTTCCTTCCCTTATTCCCTCTCCCTTGTCTTTTTCTTTCCTTCCCTCCTTCTCCATCTTCCTCCTCCCTTCTTTCTTTCCTTCCTAATCAGCTAAGAGGATATTAAACACATGCACACACACACACACAGTCCTCTAGTAAACATTTTATTGAATTTCCTTAAATATGTAAAGAAGGCCTATAGATTTTGAGGGAATACTCATCAAATCTTGAGGCTTAAAGTGATTCCAGGAGATTCAGTTTTAAAATTTTCCCCATCTAGATAGGACTGTTTTCTAGAAATATGTACTAGTTACACCTGTTCGAACTTTAAATATTGACTATATTATGCTTTTTCCTATTAGCTCTCTTATAATAAATTACTTAAATTATTATTTGGCAATGATCTGTCCTGCCTCTAATGTGAAAGATTAACAGAAGCATTTTATTTTTCAATATACCAATACATTTAATGCCATGTGGTCTTGGAGAAAGCCTCTTGATTCCATATCTATTTTGAGATGACCAGGCTGAATCATCTGGCTGGTGTCAGGAGCACCAACACAAGGCTTAGGTTTGAAATCAAATGCTTGAGAAATGCAAAGAGCCACTGAATATTTACTGTTTTTCTTTTTATAGTTTTCTTAAAGTAGTTTAGTTCAGTTTATTAGTTTTTAATGCCCACTTAACAGTAATATAACTTTTAAGTATATACTGTCTCGAAGATATTTATAAAATTAATAAGTTGGCCCTTTCCAGATCTTTGGTAAAATAATACTTTCCTGTAACTCGTCTAAATTGAATATTGCTTGGAGAAATAATTTCATTTGATTACAATTTAAAGGCATCTGCAGAACAATTCTTTTATAGTTATTATTTAATTAGATCTGTAAGGCTTATAGGATGGCATCTATTTTTATAAATATCCTATTATATTATGTCTCCACATGACTTGCTTATGGGTTTTCCTAAGAAGAGGGCTTATTTTTACTTAGCAATCCTACAGTTGAGTGTGGTTGAAAAGCCTTTTTTATCCTCTATTTTAAATTCAGCCAAAAAAAACCCCATTCTGTCATTGACCAAATGAGTCAACTAGTGCATGAGCCTGAGTCCTTAGAACAATTCATCAGCAAAGCTCCTGCTTCTGCCTTTATGGGAGCTGGTTGATTTACTGCTACAAGATTACAAAAGGGCCTCAAATCACTGATTAGTACAATGCAAAAAAACCTGCTGACTTTGTGTGTTTGGCTGTTGATGCTGGTAAAGGAGAGAGAGCAAAAGTCACGCTGGAAGCTTGCAAGTGCTAACATGTGATTACTTTTCATTCAAGAAAGATGAAAGGTGGGCTACCGTGTTTCTCAGTAGCAGGTCAACTATTCCGATGTAGTTGCTGAAAGCTTCTATAATATTCATCAGTGTTAAAATCTCTCGTTAGAGGGGCACCTGGGTGGCTCAGTCGGTTAAGCGTCTGCCTTCAGCTCAGGTCATGATCCCAGATCCTGGGATCGAATTCCGCATCGGGCACGCTGCTCAGCGGGGAGCCTGCTTCTCCCTCTCCCACTCCTCCTACCTGTGCTCTCTCTCTCTCTCTCTCTGTGTGTGTCAGATGAATAAATAAAATCTTAAAAAAAAGAAAAAAATTAAAATTTCTTAATAGAAAAGATGCAGAAATTTAGTTGGTGAAGGATAAGTAATGGCACAAAGAACTTCTGAGAATTCTTGGTGAGATTTTGATGGTGCCAAGTGCTGTGAAGCCTCTCTTGGCCTAGCCATCTGTCTTCACTAGTAAGTATCCAAGGAGTCAAAATATGGAATAGTACTATGGAAGAATCAGTTGGAACTTCAGCTTCAAACCCCAGTGCTGAAGTCTAGTGAGCTGTCTTTGACTATGTGGAAGAATCTTTTCCCTAATTTGGTAATACCTAAATGTCCCTGGGCCAAAAATGACCCAGGCTGATTTTCTTCCTAGTTCATGATATAAATCTCTAACTTTACAACTCCATAGGGCTTTGACTGTCACCAGGAAGATCCTGGGCCCCATCTTCTTAGACACTAGTTTGAATCAGCAATTTCAGCATCTTCAAACTTGGATTCTTCCAATCCAAGACTCACCAGTCCTGCTTTATCCAAAGTTTCAAAAGGTCAACAGAACATATTAGAACACCGTATCGCTGTGCTTCTTTGCATAAATATTTCCAAACATAAGTAGCAGCCCAGAACCAACTGGGACCTCTGGAAAAGTTCTAACAAACTGGTGTTTCCTGACCATGGTGCCTTTTGTAATTTAGATCCACACTGCTGTTATTAGCCATATAAAACGTAGCAGAGCAGTGGTTACTGTCCACCTTTTCACATGGAGCTTGAGAAGTGTGGTCTTGCTTATCTGAGGTTTGGAAGGAACTTTGTGGCTTCAGAAAAAAATCCTTATTTTAGCCAAGCTTGAATCTGTGCTTATCTGCAGGTCTTTAGTTGAGGCCTACCCTAAAGTAGGGTTGACCTTTCCAGGAGCTTCTGTGTTCTCATACTTCATTTAATAATACAGCTACACCAGGTGTTGGGCATATTGGAATGAAGTATGACTAGGTCATGGTCTTGAACCGAGAGATTGATCATGTTTTGTCAGGAGGCCCTCAGATAACTTCCTTCTCACTTGGCCAGTCATGCCTTTTCCCAGCAAAATCTCAATAAGGAAATACACACCAAAAAAGGGACACTAAGGCAAAGTAACATTTTGTTATTGGCCAGCCTTGGCCACAAACCTTGCTGAAGTTCTTGGAAGCCTTTGCCACATGGAAGGCTTCTTTTTCCTCAATGAGGTCGTACTAACCTTAAGCCAAAGCAGAGCCTTATATTCCTTCACAGCCCAAGGTCAGTTAGGTCTTTACTCCTCTGGACAGGAGGGTAACACCCTCCTCAGCCAGGAAAAATATGCTGAGCATGAGGCTGAGTTATTTATACCTCTAGATTTCTATCCCTAGAAAACAGGGCCCAATCAGTGCCCTGGACCATGACTAATCCATGATAATCCTCCTTTCTAGGACTGGAAAACTGGAGGGCTGAATGAGAGGAGGGAATTTCTAGTGAGGTCACCGGGGACTTCAGTCCACAGGCCACTGCTCAGCCTTTTATTGACACCACCTCCAGTGTCTAGTGAGGAAACTGGATCTACCGTGAGAAAAAAAAACAGAATGGGGGGGGTTACTGGGAGCCTCAGTCGGTTACGCGGCTGCCTTCGGCTCAGGTCATGATCCAGCATCCTGGGATCGAGCCCCGCATTGGGCTCCCTGCTCAGTGGGGAGCCTGCTTCTCCCTCTGCCTGCTGCTCCCCCTGCTTGAGCTCTCTCTCTCTCTGTCAAATAAATAATGAAAAACAAAATCTTTAAAAAAAAAAAAACCAGAATGAAATATTCTGTGGTTCAGCGTTATTTAGGCCTGTAACATTTTGATGCTGAAATTTATTGTCTTGTTTCTCAAGAACTTAAAATATAGTCATGTTAATATCGGGACAGTTGGTCAGCCTATTCTCTTGGCTCCTAGAGTTGCTTTCAATTTTCCTCTATTGGTTATTTTCCTGCAGCAGACTGCTGTCTGGGTCCCCGGATGAGCCCACAGTAGGGTAGCCACAGACTGAGGAAACTGAACAAAACAAAAGTAGTTTGACTTAATAGGGAAAACACTTACGTGAACTTACATGAGAGACACAATCTTTACTTTTATTTTAAAAATGCATGTGGATAGCAATTATTCTCTTATTTAAAAATTTCTCTCACAGGTTATGTCAAAGTACCAGTTGCTTTATTCTGCTTTTTCTTGTTAAAACCAGTATGTGGTGAACGGGCCCTTTTCTTTTTATTCTTAGATTCTATGTAATATGTAAAGTTATTATTCCATGTGTTTTTTCTGCTTTGTATACTACATAGGTCTGGAAACAAGAGTTTCTTTTTAACTTTTAACCAATTTAATTTCTTGTTATGGTAAGGAGCAGGATTGAGGTGCCCTGACTTAAATTGTTTTAATTTATCCTGAAATTGTAATCCTTACACAAAAATCTTATTCAACTGCTTTCGCCAAGTACTTCAATGCGTGTTTCAAGCAGAATTTGTTTTACAGCCTCACTAATTTGATTAAAATAGATGTTATTAAAGGATCTCAAAGCTCCTGTTTCTTCATTCTTTTGGGCCTTGTCTCCTGTGATTCATACCCTTGAGTTTTTCATCATTTTACTCTTTTAATCTCCTTTCTCACTTGGGCTGGGTGGTCTATAAGGCATTCAGTTTGGAGCCTTTCCTATGTTTTGGGGTGTTTTTACGTGTTCCTACAGTTCTGAGATGTATTCAGATGAATTTCCAGTTCTCTTTTTTTATTCTAAGTCTTATTTCTCCTCTCTTCCACATGACTGGCTGACCTGGAAATCATTCTTGCACATGATGATGATCTATCCTAGTAAGCTGGCTCATGACCACTACGTAAAAAGGCCATGGGCATTACAAATTGTGAGCCAGGTCGGTTAAGAAAAGCGATACCAGTACATAATCAAAATTTTGTGGTGTTTACTTTGCACCAAACACTTTATTTAGTATGATCTCATACTTAATCCTTTACGGCAACACAGTAGGATGGGTTATGACCTACTGAAGTACTCAATGTTAGTAACACTGAAACTGTAATTTGAGTGTATGTATTTCCTGGACCCAAACCAATTCTTTGTCGCATCATTGTCACTTTGTGCTGACTTCCTTCAAACACTTAAAGACCTGACCTTTGGAATGGACACATATTAACCACATATTAACTAAATATCCCTCAGCCTGATGGTGACCCGATTGGGAGTTTGGGACACTAGTGGCCTCAGTCAAAAGGAGGGCTCAGAATATCTTCTGGCTGGGATGTCTTAAATCCAGGTAATCACTCATACTCCCAGTCTCCTCTCTCAGGAGTGCCCTAGTGGTACCTGACTAGGTTTTCGTAAAGTATTAGTGGGTGAGTACAAATTCTGATAGGCAGTTCACAGCTTTGGTTAATGTAAAATTGTAGACCATTCAGTTTCATCAAAACATGTTTCCTTAGTTATGAAAAGTGTGAGACAACTGATTTATAGATTGCTCTATTTTCTTTCATATGAATTACTTGAAGCATTTATGCTGTCATGGGTGACATGCCTTCCTCTTATTTGCATCTCTTTTATTAGCACTGCTTCATTCAACACTCAGCTGATCAGCAGCCTTGATGAAGGAGAGGGTGATATGTGCAATTGTATTTAGGCACATCTTATTTATTTATTTTTAAAATATTCTATTTATTTATTAGAGAGAGAGTGAGCATGTGCACAAGTGGGGGATGAGGAGGGGCAGAGGGAGAGGGAGAAGCATGTTCCCTGCTGAGCAGGGAGCTGTGGGACTCTATCCCAGGACCCTGAGATCATGACCTGACCTGAAGGCAGACACTTAACAGACTAAGGCCCCTCTTTAGGCATATTTTAAACAATAAGGAAAAAAAAAGAATTCCCACACCCATCATTGTAATCTTAATCATCTGAGGACAGAACCCATAAAGAAATCCTATTCTCCAACCCTATTTTTACCACTTCTTTGGTAGTTATACAAGTCAGAATTTCTTTTCTAGTCATTACCAATTACTTCTCCCTTCCTCATCTTTATGATTCATCCAACAAATGCCCAATTATCTTTGGGTAGTACAACGCCAAGAGCACTTAGAGAATGTATTTAATCTAGAAAGCTAACTTTAGTACTTAAAACTGATCTTTCTGTTTCTACCATGGCCCTCCCCAAAACAAAATATAAAAGTAGGATAACAAGTGAATATGAAGCAATATTTATAAAATTTGTCAATATAGCATTAAAAATTTAGATATAATTTTATGCTTTCTCTCTGTTGCCAAATAAAGGAAAAACAAAACATAAAACCAAAAATCTGCTAAAATGAGTAAAAGAAAAAAAGTAAAAGTAACCTTTGTTGGTCAGTCTACACTTCCAGTCTAAGTGCACATTCAATAATATATCCTTTGAAGTCAATGAGAAGAAACTGATTCCACCATGGAGCTATTGGCTGTCTTTTTATTGCTTTGCTTATGTTTTTATGTTTTAATTTTCTTTATCAAGTTACTCATATCCTTAAAACTTAATTTTTCTAGATTCAGTGGTCATTTTTATTCTGTTACTAATGGCACCTGCCTCAAACTTTCTTAGGAAATTTATCATCCAAAACAAATAAACAAAAACAGCAGAAAAAGAGTCATAAAGACAACAAACTGGTAGTTGCCAGAGGGGTGTGGTGTGGTGGGGGAAATGACAAAATGGGTAAAGGGGAGTGGGAGGTATAGGATTCCAGTTATGGAGTGGGTAAGTCAGGGGGATGAAAGGTACAACATGGGGAATATAGTCTGTGCTATTATAATAGTGTTTCTTGGTGATAGATGGTAGCCACACATGTGGTGAGCATAGCATAACATGTAGATTTGTCTGATCACTATGTTGTACACCTGAAACTAATATAATACCATGTATCAACTATACTCCAATTAAAAAAATGGTTTCATGTTATATGAAACTAAAATTATGTAAAGAAAATCATACTGATGAGAAAATGAAAGGAGAATTTGTCTTCAACTTGCATACATTTCCCTATTCAAACTCCCTCAGTAACATATATTTCTCTAAATTTTTCTTAGTCCCTGAAGTTCAAGGAAAAAACAAACCATTGATCACTTATGTGGGGGATTCAACTGTCTTGATATGTAAATGTCAACACTGTTCTCCTTTAAATTGGACCTGGTACAGCAGTAACGGGAGTATACAGGTAAGATCCTATTTCTGTGATTTGAAGAAAACAAAATGAAAACTTTTATTTCATAAATAATATTATTAACAGACTCAGAATTCCTAGGACTATTTGTACTTCTGTTATCTTATTATTTAATGTGGCTTCATAAAGAAAGAACCGTGGAGTTGTCATTTCATGTTTTTAGCATATTGCATTGTACATCTGAAGAGACTCTTATTGTTTTAACTGGTACTTTGTTTTTTAGATTTAGCAAAATATTTAAATGTTTTGAAAGGAAGTTGTCATTCATTTTTAGTTGATGAGTTTAGAAATAACTCTAACGAAAAGATTCTTTTTTCTTTTCATTCCATGAAAGTATCTAGAAAAAAAAGGTAGTTTTCTTTTCCAGCTTCAGTCTCTGGAAACATTTGTGAAAGAATGCAATACAGTGGTGCCATTTGAGAAAAGAATGAAAATTTGGAAACTTAAAGTTGGGTCTTGGGTTCTTTCAGTGTCACTGGCCTCTTTTGGCCTTCTAGAATCCAAAGAGAAGCCAAATACTTTACATTCCTATTAAAGAATTAATGGCTATTCAAAGAGCTGATAATAAGAAAAACATGAATATTCAGAAAATCATTTCTCACTCTCTTTCTTCCTCCCAAATAACCTCTAATAGCAGGGAAATTTAGGACATTGTCCTTCAGGGGACACCTGTCTATTGCTCTGGTATTAATGAGCATTGAAATTAAAGTCCTGCAAAGGCAAGCTATAATTCTAGAAGGGACGGACAGTATGGGACAGTGTAGATCTTACAATGAAATACTAGGTTCCTTCTTAGACAAAACTGATACTGCCATAGATAGACTGTTGAAGGGAACCAGAGGAAAGGACTTAAAAGGGAGAGTGACTGATTTTGTGATAACATTGGTTTGACTTTTTAAAGAAAGCTCCACATCACTTAGGGGTCGACTTAAATCATTACTACTTCTGCTGCTTTTTTTATTGATGATTAGGAAAGGCAATCATTTTGAGTAGGTAAATATTAAAAAAAATGTATGTAAATTTATAAAGATAAATATCTGTTGTAGTACTTGACATACATAGCCTAATTTATTTGTTTATATGTGATACTAGGCAAAAAATAACCGAAATCTAATTGCATTAAACTCTTAGACTATAGTCTGTGCTTCTCTCCATTTGCTGTAGTAATTTTCTCTCAATTTGGCCCTAAGCACGGGTCGTATTAGGATGTGAGGGAAGTGTAGGGAAGTGGGTACAGGTCACAACTTTAAGTCAAGTGTTTTTTCAAAATGTAGACCGACCACCTGCCTCCGCATCACCTGGCGTGCCCATTAAACATGCATTGCTTACATGTATCAGCTCTGAGTTAGAGAGGGTACATTTGAATGAGCATCACAGGCAGTGCTATGTACAGGGAGCCAGGTCGCTTTAATTGGGGGGGGGGAGCAAATAATAAACTCACAGTTCTTGATCAGATAACCTCCAAGAATATTTGCATGCAGATTAGCATTTATTGAGCAGTGCAGTTGAGTGATAGCATAGTGAAGGCATCAGATGGCCTGAGAATAAATTTTAATTTAAACGGGTTAAATAAATCAGCTCCAAAATAGCTTAGTATGGCTCCTGAGAGGCTGGGGAAAATCCAGGGACTCTCAGAAGCCAGCTTGCCTGAGAAAGAAAGAAATTCAAGATATGCCAAGACCGGTGTGCAGACAACCACATATACTGGGCTTACAGGGGATTTCTACCATTCCTGCTACATCATCTTCAAAGGCCTGGAGATTTCATCCTCATTTCCAGTCTGAGGAACTCCCAGTGTCAGGAGCCAGTGATCTTCCTTTGTAGGAATGATCACATCCAATAGCTTCATTAATTCATGAGTTGATTTGATGTGTGCCTGCTCTTGTGAAGGAGGAAGTACTTTGAACAGCTAGTTGGGGATTAGATCGAGAAACCCAGATGGCTGGAATTTTTCTGTATCTTTAATTCTAATATTTACCCATGATGACCTACACTATAGTTTCAAACACGGAGTGTTTAGCACTTAAAATATCCCTTCCCTTTGCTACCATTGGGAGATGAAGCTCTCGGACTCTGTTATGTAAACTTCTCATAAATTTTAATATGCCTTATAGCTTTTGCTCAAAACTCAATCATTTAGGACATGTGTTTTTTATGCAATATGATAGGAATGGGTTTTGATGTCTCCTTATATTAGGTTCCTGTTGATGTTCACGTGAATGATAAGTATGCAATCAATGGAACAAACGCTAATGAAACAAGGCTCAAGATAATGCAACTTTCAGAAGATGATAAGGGATCGTATTGGTGCCATGCAGTGTTCCAATTAGGCGAGAGCCAAGAACGCGTTGAACTTGTTGTGCTGAGTTATTTGGTGCCCCTCAAACCATTTCTTGGATTGGCTGTTGAAGTTATTATTTTAGTGGCTATTATTCTGTTTTGTGAAATGTACACCCAAAAGAAAAAGATGCACACAGGTAAGGTTTCTTTTTTTAGATAATGTTCTTATGTTATGACTTAATACATTATAATGGCTTTAGAGTTTTGGGGAAATATCTAACTTTTGTTATTTGGGAGGGGTGTTTATTTAACATTAATGGTGACAGTGATGTGAGCTTTTATTGATGGTCTTTCTGTTTCAACTTCCTAAAAAATTTTAGTATGAAAATACACTTTTTCTCCTTTTGCTTTGGTGTTACTGGTACCTCAACACCAAATAGGTGATATGTGCTTTGGTACTAGAATAATAGAAGATTCTGTGATAGCTTAACATAAAAGACCTCAAAGACAAACAGTCTTTCACTTAGATAACTCACTTAAAAAATACTTTATCAGACATTCTGGAGTTCTCATAAAAGCGACATTGGTCAGTTCTCCATTTTTGTGGCATGTGCTTGATAGATTGCAGGTTGAGAAACCCATGGTCCCCCAAGAAAATTTATCTTACATTCTGTATTCTTTTCTGATTTTGTACTAAATTTTACTAATTTAAAGAATTACAGATCAGTCAGTCTGATTTTGAAAATCCCAGGCACTAGACTATGCTTGATGAAAATTGCAGGTAAGGTCTGGAGAGCAGGGAAAGAGGAGAACGTGATGGATGTGCAGGTGTTTCACGTCATATGTCTCTCTCTCGTTCCAAAGAGGGAAAACCACAGAATGCATTCTTAACATGGGGAAAGTTGAATTCAACATACATGCTCCATAAGAATGATAAACCAATCTTAATAAATTCCTCTTTTGTTATACAGATGATGGGAGAGAATTTGAACAAGTTGAGCAGTTGTAAGTATTACAGATTAATTTTCACTTGAGTAAAATAGAGATAAATATGAAATTGAATAAAAGTTAGCAGTTAGAGTAGGTATTTACCCCAAAGTTACAGAGGTAGTGATCCGAAGGGGCACCTGCACCCCAAAGTTTATAGCAGCAATGTCCACAATAGCCAAACTATGGAAAGAGCCCAGATGTCCATTGACAGAGGAATGGATAAAGAAGATGTGGTATATATATATTCAATGGAATATTACTCAGCCATCAGAAAGGATAACATCTTACCATTTACATCGCCGTGGATGGAATTGGAGGATATTATGCTGAGTGAAATAAGTCAATCAGAGAAAGACAATTATCATATGGTTTCACTCATGTGGAATATAAGGAATATTGCAGAGGATCATAGGGGAAGGGAGGGAAAACTGAATCGGAAGAAATCAGAGAGGGAGACAAACCATGAGAGACTCTTAACTATAGGAAACAAAGTGAGGGTTGCTGGAGGGGAGGTGGGTGGAGGGATGGGGTAACTGGGTGATGGGCATTAAGGAGGACATGTGATGTGATGAGTACTTGGTGTTATATGCAACTGATGAGTTACTGAAGTCTACATCTGAAACTAATGTTGTACTATATGTTGGTTAATTGAATTTAAATCAAAAAAAAGTTTGCTGTTTGGACAAAAACACAAGAGTATATTATATGTGTGTTATTTTCTGTACACATCCATGTTGTGGAGAGGCATTTGGAGTTTGCCTGCCTACATTAGTATCCTCCCTCCCCCCCTACCATTGACTTTTTCCTCTCTGTGCTTCAATTCTGTCCTCAACAAAATGGCTTTAATTACAGTATTTGCCTTATAAGGCTTTTGGATTAAATGATATTCTGTATGTAAAAATGCTTAGCATAGGCTTTGATGCACAGGGGTGTTCAATAACCATAAGGAAGTCATTATTTATGTAAGCCAGAATTTCTTTTTTTTTTTTTTTAAGATTTTATTTATTTATTTGAGAGAGAGAATGAGAGATAGAGAGCACGAGAGGGAAGAGGGTCAGAGGGAGAAGCAGACTCCCCGCTGAGCGGGGAGCCCGATGCGGGACTCGATCCCGGGACTCCAGAATCATGACCCGAGCCGAAGGCAGTCGCCTAACCAACTGAGCCACCCAGGCACCCTAAGCCAGAATTTCTTAACCCTGGCTATATTTTTGGTCACTTAGGATGTTCCTTAAAAATATAGTTGCTCAGACTTTACTGGATCTCCTGGATCAGAACCTCTGGGAGTAGTGCCTGGGCATCTGTATTTCTTTAAAATGTCTATCACTGATTTTTTTTTTTAAGTTTTTATTTATTTATTTGTGAGAGAATGAAAGAGAGCACAAGAGGGGGGAGGGTCAGAGGGAGAAGCAGACTCCCTGCTGAGCAGGGAGCCCGATGTGGGACTCGATCCCGGGACTCCAGGATCATGACCTGAGCCGAAGGCAGTTGCTTAACCAACTGAACCACCCAGGTGCCCTGTCTATCACTGATTCTAAGTCTCTCTTATATGGAAAATCACTGGGCTAGAATTTTATTAGTCACTGTTTTTGAAAGAATACATATTGTGCCCCAGGTTCTCTTACAGCCCCTTTGTTCAGAGTGGAGCATGAGCAGGGCTGAGAAGAAAAGTATCAGGGTTATAATTTAGTTTGGTCAAGACAGGAGTGACTAGTTCCTCTCAGCCAGAGGACTGAGCATGGAGTCCAGTGATGGAGGTGCCTGAGACTGGGATTAGAGTCTGAGTAACACAGCCAAGGGCTGGACCGGGAAAACGAGATGAGATTAAAGCAGCTGAAAGAAATGTTGGAAATGGAAGGCCTGAGCACATATAACCACACAGAATGGCACCTGAGGTTTATCTTCATTGGCCAGCACAAGTTCGGAGGTGAGGTCTCTAGCCATGGTTAAAGAGTGGGAGAGCTGTCATTTAGATATTTGTAGACATTATTCAAATAGTTATTTTTACTCAGTTCACAAATGGCAGGTAAAATAAATCAACATGATATGAGCTTCTAAAGTAAGGGCACGAAATAATCATATCAGGAGTTCCATAACCTCAGATAGGAAAGACAAAACAAAACAGTGTTGTTGGCACCAACTTGGCATCAACTCTTATAGTTGGAAGGAAACTGCACCTCTTTCTGGTGAACTTGGAACTCTTGTTTAGAGTGCATTGAATATTCTATCTTTCTGGTTCCCAGGTATTGTGTCCCATTCTTATACTTGGGGTCATACAGAAAACAAGACGGTCATTCAGATACTCAAAACAGTTACAGCCTTGCCCAAATGCTGTTGTCCCAGCTCAGCTTCCCCAGTGTTTCTGGTCATTCACTCCCTTGCAGTCACATTTGGGGGCTGCTCCTGTCTCAGTGGATTCTGGTTCATTTAAGACACATGCTGAAGGGGTGGTACCAGGACAGTATGGAGTAGACTTACCATTTCTTAATTTTCATTTATGTAGCTTACCCTAATTTTAAAATCTTTTTAAAATACTTTTTTCTAGAATATCTTAGGAGTAACGTCAAACTGATTCAATCTATAGTATAAATGATTTACTTTCTTTTATTGGTAATTGGGATAGTGTACATAATATTCTCTACCCTATACTGTTCCACAGAGAGCTCTGGCAGTGTTTATTTTTTTAGTTTATTTCTTATTTCAATATCTTTAGATTTAATACAAGTATCAAGGGCACTTGAACTCATTTGCAGCCACCTTTTACCAATGTTCTTTTAGAATTTTTAGTTAGCAGTGCACTTTTTTTTTTAAGTAATCCGTATGCCCAACATGGGGCTCTAGAATTTTTAGTTAGGAGATGAACTTTACTTGACAGAATATATATATACACGCACATATATGTATATTCTGTCAAGAAAACTTTCTCTCTCTATATACACACACACGTATATACATATTTATATATAATGCTTATATGTTTAGATGCCAGGAAGAGTCCATAGAGTTCCTTGATGAAAATAAATCTTAAAACCATACTAAATGTGTAACATCAAAACAAGCTAGTCACTTCAAATATTTGAATGAGGAGCTCATTCGTTTATCTGATCCACTCATATACTTAACCCATATAATCTCGCCTGACAGCCCCTCCCCCAAATTTGGATTACGTGGTTGAATTTATTATCTGGTGGTGATAGCTTAATGAGCTCAGGCCTGCCTGTAACACTAGAAGGGTATTCATTATGCACTCTTGTTACCTAGTTTGGTCATTCTTATCTTAAGAATCTGAAGGCCAGGGCGCCTGGGTGGCTCAGTCATTAAGCGTCTGCCTTCGGCTCAGGTCATGATCCCAGGGTCCTGGGATCGAGTCCCGCGTTGGGCTCCCCGCTCCGCAGGAAGCTTGCTTCTCCCTCTCCCACTCCCCCTGCTTGTGTTCCTGCTCTCGCTATCTCTCTCTGTCAAATAAATAAAATCTTTAAAAAATAAATAAATAAAATAAAACCAATGTTAAAAAAAAAAAATCTGAAGGCCACATTTGTCACCTTGCCCTGATGCACATTGGGTAGACAACCACGTTTAGCCTCTAATTCATTGTGATAAATATGTTGAATTATAGCACCTGTAGCTCACATGTTGGCTGACCTTCTGATTGGCTGTTATTTTGCAGGGCCTCAAGACTGCTTACAAGTTATGGCCGTATACCCACGTCCTCACTCATGCTGGGGGAGAAGCAGTTCTCCCTCTGCATAAAATAAACAGGACTGGTCACTGCCATCTGTGGCAACAGTTCTCTAAGCAACGATAGAAAAACAAAATCAGCATTATGAGTAAAACATTTTTAGGAGAAATGAATTGTCTCTATTGACCTTTTACATTTTAACCTGATGGCCACTATATAGATGATGTACTGACTTGATTTAATGCAATGTAAATATCTAGTGATTTTCTTTTTGTTTTCCGGACAGGAAATCAGATGATAGCAACGGCGTAGAAAATAATGCCCCCAGGCACAGAAAAAGTGTAAGTTACTTCCAAATGATATTCCAAATGAAAGGTAAAATTCACTGTACATAGACTATTATTCCGTCTACACTTTTTAGTTTCATAGGAGACCTTATCATTCACTATGTGTTTGAATATAGTTGTTTAGAATATTATAGGAGAAAATGTATAGTTATATAAAAATAAATGACATCTTTTTTCTATCAGAGAACATGTAGCAACCAATCTAAAAATAAATCCTTTGCCCTACATATATATATATATATATACATATATATAATATATGTATATATATTTGTGATCATGGGCTAGTTCCTTTTACTACTTTTCATGTAGTCTTATTTTTTTTTTCTCTCTTAGGTTTTCTGGATTCTCCTTTTTTTATTCTCCTATACTCATATATTTGGCATTATGAACAAATACATAGTAGCTTATTTTCTTTACTGATTAGAATCAAAATTTTCATAGTTGATCAACATTTTTTTCCTGAGTATTTAGAAAATAGTTACTGTTAGTTTTGGCAGTGGTTTGGATCACTCCTTTCTAGCACTTTCTGCTTTGCTAAAGTGATTATAAGTTATAGAATAATCAGGACATACTAATTATGTTTCATTATGCTTTATTTAACTCAGGAATCTGTGAGCCAGTGAATGCGAAACATCATGTCAAGAGTCATGGGAAGATGTACAGTTTGTACTTCAGCTTTGTTTGTTTCCTGTTAAGAATATCTGAGTTTTTATTTTTAAAAGGATGAAAAGTTTATGCAATATCCTCAGCAGTAGCTTTGTAATAATATATGCTATATCAGATCTAAAGATATATTTCCCTTCTGTAATTATTTTACATTAAAGCAAGGTAAATTATATTAAATATGTTCTATGAGCTATCACCCAGGATAATTAATTTCATCTTGGTCATCAAGGGATGCACAGAAGATATACCAGCAAAATCAGTTAATACTACACAGAACTAATGTCATTCAAGACCTGTTTATAACCAAAGAATTCATTAAAGAGAAAACTTTTGCCATTTGCCTTAAAAAGTTTTTTTTTTTCCAGTCATGCTTACTATCTTTAGAAACATTTGTAATAATTTTCATGTAATGTTCACCCTCTGTCAGATTGGATAAAAACATCTTCCCTAGGAAATGAATACTTTCTGCCTTTGCTAATGATTTATAATCCCCACAAGAAAAACATACTTTTCCTCCACAGATACTGGTTTAAGGCAAGGAAATATAACCATATACTTGCCCCAAATCTCCCATCACCACAAAAACATGTTTCCCAACCTTTGTTCTACTCATTTCCATAGCTTATACACACCAGGCAAAAGTGACTTTTAGTCTTTATGTAGAGAATTTTTTAAATGCCGTGGGTTTGGGATTTTTTAAGTTGCACCTGGTGTTGATGCTCTGGGTACAGGTCCATATAGTCATAATATAGCCCTGCTACAGGGATGCTTCTGTGGTTCATGGTTTCTTGGGATCTTTGACTTGATACCTGGTGTCTTGATACCCATGGATGGCTAAATATCTAAAAATGCATTATTAGTGCTTTATAGTCATGATTCCGTTGTTTGAAATCAATCCAGAAGTACTAAAGGGCTTCTTCTATGCTGTTGCAAATGCCTTAGACTTTTCTTCAAAATTAGCTTAGTTTCTATTGCATATATAACTGAAATATTTTATAAAATCACTGTAACCAAACCAAATGAAATATGAATAGACATGAAACATTGTCAGTGGCTTTGAGTGGACTATAAAATCATACTACAGTATACTAGATTGGGTTGAAGACAATGATGTGAAGCCTGCTGGGTGTCCTTAGTGCTGGTGGGTCCCATCTAGCAGAGGTCAGAAAAATCAGAAGTCAAAGGGGAATTTTGGGATGGTGGCAAGGAACCCACAATTTTTGGTGACTAGAAGATTAATATTCGGAGAAGAGGAGTTCAATGACTTGGGGAGAAAATACCTTATAGAAATGTACATTATGTACTGGCTGAGAAAATGATAAAACTGTGGTAGTGAAAATTATAATTTATATGGCATCTTAACTAATGTTAAAATATTACTAATTGGAATAATACACCTAAAGTGGTGACTTGGAAGCTGCCCATTATTTCGTTGCAGCACTATTTTGTGTAAAGTGTGTTCACTATACCTGCACATTTTATTGAACCAGAGTATATCCCTTAAGTAATGGCAGATTTCATTTTATTCTTAGTCTCAGAGCCATAAGCCATGCATTGTTTTTGTTTAATTCATTATTTGATAACATTCTCATGGACGGTTATCTATATGATGGCAGACAACCAATCGGTTTACTTCATTAATATAAACAATTTGAATTCAGTGAAAAATTAGTCAAACCTGTTATTTGACTAAGTCCAGTTCAAAGTGGTATATTTATGACTGGGTATATTTAAAACCAAAAACAATTTGTAGTTCATACGCAGTATGTATCTGTCCATTTTGCCACACTATTTAGGCTAGATATTTTTCAAGCAGGAGAAATTGCTGCCCCATGGTAAAATAATCTGAAATATTTGTATAGTAAACTGAATTTTTAAATGTCAATGCTTGCTGTTTTTCCTAGCAAAGGCAATTCATTTCAGTAACCTTAAGCAGAAAAAGTACTCAGAAAATTAAAATTGAGTTTTGACTTTTTAGATTCTCTCTGGAGGAACTTCTAGAAAATTACTTCAGACTCTTAGATTAAAAATGGAGTGCTTCCATTAAGTAACCTCATGTGGAAGATAAATGGATTAACTCATAATAACCAATTGTAAATGGGCTGAAAATACTAAGTAAGCAGAAAAGCTGAAGTAGGAAAACTGCTCCACGTTTATATATTAGACACCCTGGGAAATTCTATTAATCTTTCCAGCTAACAGGGCTTTGCAGAATAAGGAGATTTAATGATGTTTTAAAATTCTCAGATACTTTCATATTCAGTTTATGCTTTAATGTAAATATTCTCCCATGGTATCTTTCTCTTTTTCCTCAGCGTCTGGTTACTTGGGTCAAAACCCAGAACTCATTGTGATATTTTCGTCTCCTCTATTAACTAAGACTCATTAGTTATGAATCTTTGTTTCTTTGACCTTCTCACTGTTCATTAATCCACCCATTGCCTTCCCCACCCCATTCTCACAACTGCAACAGCAGCAGTCTTGATTTTCCTACCTCCATCTCATCTTCCTATTAATCCATTTTTTGGATAGCTGCCCGAGTCGTCTTTTTAAATACAAATCTTGCTATATTAACTTAATATGGAAGCTTTCATGCCAAACTTCTGCAGGCTTACCTTTGCCATTTCTTAATACTGCAGCTTTCCAAATGGCTAATCTCTCTTCCATGTCGACTTAGTCTTGACATACAGAGATTTGGTGCAGAATGCTATCCCCCTGTGCTCCTTCCATTGAGTAACTTGAGTTTAGCGTTCAAAACTTTAATCTGACGTTATTTCCTGGTGGATCTTTCATACTCAGTGGGAGTGTATACCATGTTATTTGCTCAAATAACTCCACATTTCTTTGTGTTTATTACCCTGTATTATAAACATACATTTGTCTCCTTCCTGTGTCGTGTACTTACCACAAAGAGGATACACTAGAGATGTCATAAAATGCGTGTTGAATAGATATAAGTAAAAATCAAATTTCATTAATTTGTAGTTATTTTTAGAACAATCTAAATTGTGACATCAGAATTAAAATACAGGGGTGCCTGAGTGGCTCAGTCGGTTGAGCAACCAACTGTTGGTTTTGACTCAGGTCATGATCTCATGGTTGTGAGATCAAGCCCTGCCTTGGGCTCTGCTCTCAGTGTGGAGTCAGCTTGGGACTCTCTTTGTCCCCTCTCCCTGTGCCCCTCCTGCCCTGTGCTGGCTCTCTCCCTCTCTCTCTCAAAGATTTTATTTATTTATTCATGAGAGACAGAGGGAGAGAGAGAGAGAAGCAGAGGGAGAAGCAGGCTCCCCGCCGAGCAGGGAGCCCGATGCGGGACTCGATCCCAGGACCCTGGGATCATGACCTGAGCCAAAGGCAGAGGCTTAACCATCTGAGCCACCCAGGCGCCCCTCCCTCTCTCTCTCAAATAATAAATCTTTAAAAAATTTTTTAAAAGAATTAAAATACAATATTTTAACAGATAAACAAGGTTTTATGAGTCAATGTTTGCTTCTGTTACTTTGAAAACTACATAGTAATAGGATAAAACATCCCATCAGATTTTATAATAATGTGTTAATATCTAATGAGCAAATAGAATTCTGATTCCTAAACCGTTATGTGGGGTATGCCCCTTTCAACTTATTTAAATTCCTATTGTTCTCTATTTTTCATGGATAGTTCAGATGTTAACCTCATTTTTATCCTTTATTTTAATAAGATAAGGTATTGACTTTAAATATAAAGATATTTAGCAACTGTAGCCCTTTGCATGGTACTATAGAGTGCATTAATATTTGTGCTCCCTCCACTAATTTCTCATTCCTCTTCCCTGTGGCAATAACCTTACAGTACCTTAGAGCATCTCAGAATCCAATTCAAAACTTTATCTTAAAAGAAACGAAATTTTTTAAAGAAAGGTTTCATTGTTTAGTTTTGATCACTGAAAGTTTGTCTTTAATCAAATTCATCAAAAGAAAAAAATGTCCATTCTGCTCACTTATTCCCTAGGTCTTCATCTGTGAGGCATTTAAATAGATTTATACAAAATGGTTTACTGAATAGCTACTATTACTTTCCAAAAGTAATATGATTAAAATTTATTATCATTCAAAAGTATGATTCACAGTCATAAGAGAAGTTGGAAAAGAAAGTCGTGTTTTTGATAACCTGTGAAATGAACTGGACGATTCTTTGGATTTGCTTATCTTCATGATTAATGTGTCATAGTAATACCCATGTGATTCTCAATGAATCAGGAATGCCTGATTATGCTTTTACAATAAAATTTACTTATAAACTCAGTGAGGATCACTCATGAATAACATTGTCAAAATTACTTATGGTCACATGATTAACTTGTAACATCTATATTTCTTAGTCTCTCATCTTCCAAATGAGAAAATGCTAGGGCAACTTGTTTAGGGTATTGGTTAAAATCTGTGTATTATTTTGGTGTGTTATCTATTTGTTGAACTTTTGTTCATAAAATTGATTTTGCTATTTAATTTGTAATTTACTTCAAGAACAGCACAAATTCTTATTTCTTTTATTTGATAAATGAAAATATTAGACTTATCACATATATGTGTTATTTAATACTATAAAAATATCACAAAATGTGATTATATTAACTGCTTTTGTATGTCTTAGATAAAAACTTGACCATAAATTTTACTTTTAAAAAAAATCAAGGACCATAGATTTATTATGACATATTTCCTAATAATTTTAGTATTTTCTTTTTTTAGCATATATGTCTAAATTCTCCTTAATGCCTTTCTGTATTATGTAAATAGCACAGAAAATACCTGTATTGGAATGTTTCCAAAAAACTTTTTTTTTGCCTATAACTCCAAGACTGTATCTAACATGCAATTAAATTCAATAAAATGTCCTCAAGTTAAAGATTTAAGTGAGTATTAGAAAATACATTTTGAATTTTAAACTTTTAATAATGGTTTAAAGTAAATTTGAAGGCACTAGATAACAGAAAAAATGATGTTTTCTTTTCCTTGGATTATATTCACAGAAAAATTCAAGTTTTGTAAAACAATTCATCCTTCTCAAGAGAGCCCAATAAAAATGTGTGCCTGGAGTTGTCTCTGGCTGGAGGTGAGGGGTGGGAGTGGAAGGGTGGAGGGGAGGTCTTTAGTGGGTATAGAGTTTCAATCCTGCAAGATGAAAAGTTGGAGATCTGTTTTACATCAATGTGAATATACTTAATGCTACTGAACTGTACACTTAAAAGTGATTAAGATGGTAAATATTCTTTACTTGTTTATGGTAATTTTTATTACAGTTTTTTAAAAAAAAGAGTGATAGGATAAAAAAACCTATAAATCCTTTAGCAGAAAAGTAAAATAAAAT